ACGCGCGCCAACCGGCAGTCCGCGCACGAAAGTTGCCCTCGCGATGGGCGTGCATCCGGAGAGTGTTGAAGCGTGTGTACGGCGCAGCACGTTCAAGGGCGGCAACGGGCGCAATGATGTGATGGGACGCGCTGGACGACGCTTCATGGCCGCCACGGCGAAGTACACTGGCAAGCATGGGGACACACGGCTTATTACTCTGGATAAGGCTGCTGCTGCTGCTGCGGATGATGATGATGACTGGGTTGTCGGGAAATCAAACGCACACTTCTCGGGTGTGAATAACAAAAGGGATTAAAATACTACTACTACTGTCAATAATAACAATAATACCGCTTGTATGGCGTATGCAACTACAGCCACAGAAAAATGGGGAAGAAAAAGAACAGGGGGGAGGAAGGAGGAGTGCAACACGTTAAAGAACAACAGGATGGACAACATTGACAGCAGGCATATAAACATACGTACGTAAATAGATATTTCTCCCCTTTCTTTCTCACTCGCGTTCTTGCCGCTTCCATCTATCTATCTAACTGTGCCTGTATGCAAGGAAACACCTTCCACATCCCCAAAGAAATATACAACAATCATCATTCACTCAGCCTGGTGCCATGGGGCGCTTTATTGTTACCTCCACTGTTAACTTCGCTACTCGTTTTTTTTTTTCTTTCTTTTTTTTTTTTTTTTTTTTTAAACCTCAAACGTGAATAAATAAATGAAACGGAGAAACACAGGGTGTGTGTGTGTGTGGGAGGCGGGGTTCTCTTTTCCGGCCCAACCCACACAGAGGGAAAGAGAGAGGGAGAGAAAAAAACCCCTATTGCCTGTTGCAACTCTCCTACCATTCTCCTTTCAAAGACTTCCGGTGCACCACCGCCTCAAAAGGACGCTTCATCCACGCAACTTCCGCCATGATTAAGATGGCACGGATGCTCTTTAACATGCACTCATGCCACATGCACTCGGTGTTCAAAAACTCCCTCCCACGGCTCTTGTCCCCTTGTTCTCAGAATACGAAAGTGTTCTCACCATGCGGAAATCCTGGGGACGGCGTCTTCCGCGCCGTTGAGCCAAATGGCCCGTAAGACTGTCACTGCGGGTGTTGTTCATCGAGTGTGTACGGTATGATCGTGTGATGTTGTTGCCACGGTTTAATTCCGCTGTCCCATGAATGGTGGCATACAACGCAACTAGCATATCGGAGGTAAGTACCACTGTCCCATCCTCTCTCATACTGCGACCAACAGCTTTAGTATTCTTTTTTAATTGGTTATACGCATGTAAGATACTACCCCCTCGCGATGCATGCAACATATTGGAATTGAATCGAGAGTCTTGTTGGAGTTGCTGCCGGTTGGGTGTCACGGAGTAGGAAAGGTGGAGAGAACTGCGTGTGCGGTGAAAGTTTAACTCGGGTGTCTTTTTTTTCCGCCCGCGTGGACGGCGTGTCGCAGGCAACGGTGAGCGTTTATTCGGCGGTGGTACGACGAGGGGGGAGTCAAACTCCGAGTCGATCGAGCCTCCGTTGAGCGGCTGCGGCGCAGAGGCGGAAGGTGGTGAAGGGATGTAATCAAAAATTTCACTCGGAGGTCGTATGGAAGGGGAGCAATCACTTCCATGACTACTGCTCTCCATCAGCATCCCTCCTTCCCCGCTCCTGTTGTTGTTGTCATTGCCCCTACCACCACCACCATTGCGGCATTGAGGACAATGATTGTTGTCACCGTCGCCTTCTCTTCTTTCTACATCTCCTCGAAGCATCAGAGTCGATGATAACAACACCTCCCCCTTGTGTTCCACCTCCACATCATTATCATCCACGGCGGTGAAACGTTGGCGGCAATCCGGAGAGAAGAGAAAGTGGGTGCCTTGTTGCCTTCCAGAGACAAGTCGCATCGGTCCACGGTATGGCGAGTTAAGCCCATTTTCCCTCATCTCATGATTTAAATGCATGCCACACATATGGTCTTGAAATTGCTTGCCTCTCTCTGTGGGAACTTCTAAACAATTGGGCTGCTCCCTTCCGACTGCGGCCTTCGAGGCGTCATGCCGCTGCCGCTGCATCTCTCTCGCATTCCCCTCCTTGTCGCCATGAGAGTCATCAAAGACATGCGTCGTTGGCGTACGGGGTGTCATGACGTCACCATCCACCACAACGCCGCTGGTGCGCTTTGAACGGATCTCCACCAAACGCCCCAGTTCCCGCCGCGTCGCCAACCACAACGCCCGTGGCAAATGCCGCACTTCCGCTGCCAATTGTTCATGTTTCTGCCTAATCTGTTGACGCTCCTTCTCTCGCGTGGATGCCTCTTTACAGAGCGTACTATTCGTTGCACGTATCGTTATTGAAGCCGCCCTGAGAGCCGGTTTACTCTGCGAAGTGCCGTTTTTACTCAACGCATCGTGCCCATCCACAATTCCCTTCGGTCTCCGTCGTGGCTCGCCCTCTTCCTTGTGTGCACTCGAGGGAATGAGCGAAGTACGCCTCATGGGGTCGTTGCCACGAAAAGCAGATCTCAAAAATGGCGAGGCAAAAACTCGAATGGTGGAAACTTCCCCGGTTCGTCGTACGGCAGCAGGCTTATAAATTGATTTTGGCGTGGATAATGTTTTGTTACGGTCATTTTGAACAGAAATCTTACACAAAGCTCCACTAATACCCCTACCAGTTCTCGTACCACCAATGCCAGAAGGACTCCGCTTCCACAGTGCGGGTTTTACTGCCGTTTTCTGACGTGTTGAATCACTGGCAATGTTCAAAAAGGACGAAAATGTGCGCTTCTGATTTCCCAAGAGGGAGTCGCTGCTGCGTGTTCGACGCATCGCCTTCGTGGATTTTGGAAAACACGGTGCAGAGGCCATCCTGACAGCCGGTTCTGTCTTTCTTGTAGGAGTGGATGATGTTTTCGTCGCCACGGATCTTTCACGAGTTTGTGTGGCGGTAAAGGAGTGTACTGAACTTCGAGTGGGACGCGCATACCACGGCTGCAACGACGCCGTGTTCCCGCCCGTTGCCGTCGTAGAGCCTCCATGTGAAGTTGGCTTGAGTGAAGGGGGCCGCAACAACACCCGGCTCATCTTATCCGGTGAATCATGATTTGTTTGTTTCTTGGTGGTATTCATATTCCTTGCATCTGGCTTAGGCCGAAGTGCAGCCTTTTTGGATAATGGGGAGAGTGCCGTGGCAGTTCTCGTCATGGGAGTTGCGTGACGAACTAACGTTTCGTTGCTCTGTCGATGCGGTAAACAAACCAATTCGTGTTGTCTCCGTGACTGTCGTCCATTCTTCCCAGGCGGGGAATTTACGGTAGCTTTCATATGATGCATAGAGGGAGCCGTATTGAAGGTGAAGGAGTGTACTCGACGATGCGTGTGTTGCCACGATTGGGACTCATTCCCTGCCGTGTAACTGCTATGCAAGGCAGTTACCAGCGTCGTTGCACTCCTATAAAGGCGCCTTGTTGGTGTCTGCATGGGTCTCCGTTTCCATGAACTACTGTAGGTTGTGTCGTCATGACAATTCTCCCGCTCCTCTAATGTGGCAGCTGGATTCTTCCGTCTCTGCTGCAGGCTCAGTGTTCGACGCAGCGGATACGTGCGACTCCGCGTCCCGTTCTTCTCCACGACACCGTGATTTTCTCTTCCATTTGAGTTCATGGCGCCATGCGTGGTCATGATAGGCTTCGAAAAGGGACGCGGCTGCGGTTGTGGAGACACCAGTGCTGCAGAACTGACTTCGCCAGAACTCACTCGCGCCTCATGCATCCCCGTCTGTAGCCGCTCTGACGTATGAGAAATAAAAGAAGCAGTAGGATGCGTCTCTTTCCTACTCGTCTTCGTCGCGTCATGGCGTTGACACCCCGCCGTGTGGCGACCGTTGGCACTCACACCACCGTACGTGTTCGGCTCCACAGCCACACTGCCATCACAGCCACTCGTGGTGGGGTCCATGCAGTGTGCCGGCATCCGTATGTGTCCTACTGCCGTCCCTCTCTTTTATTTCTTTCTCCTCTTCAATTCACACGCAGAGAAAGAAAGAGAGAGAAGAAGAAGAAAAAAAAAAAGGTATATATTTATATATTTGTACACACACAGAGAGAGAGAGAGAGAGAGACACACACACGCATGTCATCACCATTAACCTCCCGTCGTTACACAAACGGATAGGCAAAAGGGTCCCATCCCCTAAGTGACATGGGTGGAGATTGATATAAAAGAAGGCAATACGCCCCCCTTCCCCATCCCCCTCTTTTTAAAGTCTTACATGACTCCGGTAGAGAACACATGTCTGTCTGCCTGTCTCTGTGTGAGTGATTGAATACGTGTGTGAAGTAAAATGGGGGGGGAAAAACAACAACAAATGATAGAGATACACTCAAAGAGAGGGAGAGAAAGAGGGAAAGAAAAAAAAAAAAAAAAAAAAACATTTACAGAGAAGCCGGGAATAATAATAATAATAATAATTCCCCATGCAGACACTAAAATAATAAATATACACACACAATCATTCACTCATTCACACGGCCTAAGACGTCACATTATGTTTATTCGTACACATGTCATGTATACATGTTATTTTGGGCTCAACGCCGTTATGATGGGGAGAGGGGGAGAGAGGGGGAGAGGGGGAAGGGGGAAAAGAAATTACACACGCAAAAGAAAAAAAAAAAGAAAAAAAGAAAAAACAAACAACAGAGACATGTCTATAATTATACAGACAGACATAAGGAAAATGATAAGCAAAAATAAAGACAACCCTGTCATAGAAAACACAACAGCAACCACACACACACAACAATAAAAAGAAAAAAGAAAAAAAAAACAATCCAGACGAGTTAAACAGACAAATAAAATATATAAACATATAAACATATATATATACAAGTGTACAACATTAATAAAAATGTTGACAACAACCACCACCACAGAAAAGAAACACACACACACACACACACAAGCAAGCAAGTAATATTAACAACCCTTACCGAGCGTATGAATACTAATACTAATACCAATATTACTGCTACTACTACTACTACTACTACCGCTCCTCTTCTTTATTATGATTATTATTTTGATGCGTGTTTCAATTCTTCCATCACGCTTCATTTGCTTCTGTTATGTAAAACATAACATCCTCTCATCTTTCTCACCGTCTCTCTTTCTCCCCCTCTTATATAAATATATGAATATATAAATATATTTTTTTCCCTCCCTTCCCCCTCCCCCTCCCCCACAAAACAAAAAGTCGTTTTCATTTTCGTCCCTTTTTTTTTTTCTCTCTCTTTCTTTCTTTTCCTTTTGTGCGTGTATGTATGTATGTATGTATGGGGAGAGGAAAAGGGGGGTAGAGGTAAAAGTCATTAAATAATAAAAACATATTTACATATAGATATAAATAGAATTAAACATTGCTTTTTTTTGTTTGTTTGTTTGTTTCTTTGTTTCTTCTCCTCGCGCTCTCTCCGTGCGTGTGTACGGTTGTGGAATGCGTTATGATTGAATCATATCGTCCACGCCATACTGCATCAGCATCCCCACCATGGATGACGAATCCATCATGATTGTGTGCGTTGAATCTCGAAACGCGTTCTCTGCGTCACTGCGGCCCTCTTCTTCTTCTTCGCTCTCTGGCCCTCCTGGGGAATAGCAGGTTAAAGAGACATCGGGTGGTGTATGCAGAAAAGAGGGGGATTTGGATTCTCCACCAGGCAGGCCAAGACTACTACTACTCTCCACCGCATTGCCAGGCTGTTGACTTATAAACGGCATGAGGTTGAGCATCTTATGAAGACTTTCACTGGCAAGACGGGGTCGACGCCACGGGGAATCTGTTACTTGATGTCGCCACAGCGTCCGGCAACGGGTTTCACGCTCGGGATGGCGATGCATTCGAACTCTTGAGCTCGTCCCGACCCTATCGTGGTCGTCACCATTACCCTCAACGCCCATGTTATCTCTGCAAAAGGCAAAACCATACTGAGATGGTGCCACACGCCGCAATTGATTTTCCATCTCCAATCGCCGGCGACGTTCCTCAAGAAAGGAAGCATGCATCCGTTCGTGTTCCTCCCGTTCCTCCCGTAGGAGCCGTGTATACATGTCAAGTTCATTCTGCACACGTGAATACTCCTCTTCCCTTCTGTAAAGTTCATCCCGTAAAATCTGAGCTATGTCTGTTCCCGGGATGTATTGAAGGGCAAAGTTGTTTTCCTCCGTCTCGCCCGGTATGTCGTAGAAAATAGGGGGGTGTACAATACATGCTGGCTTCATGCTCGCCTGATCCGCAGGATTCCCATTCATTTTGCAAATGTCCAGCTCAGAATTTCCTCGTGCATTCACATTCCTTTCCTCCCGCTCCATTACAGATTGGTGCTCCGTCGGTTTATTCATAAGAATTGCCAGCTGGTTTTCCAGCCATGTGATCCGACTTTGGGCGACATTTAGCCTAGACTTCAAATCCTCTTTCGTTTCCGTGTGATTCACAACTGGTCGGTTACATAGCCCTTTCGCCCGCTGTGCAAACTGCAAGGTAGAGAGACTTTCCGCCGCATCATTTATGTCCGGTGAGACCGTGCACAGGAGTGTGGTGAAGGCGTTGCCGCCTATGCTTTCCTGAAGTAGGCGTGTGAGTTTAGAGTCACGATAGGGGATGTGGGTAAATTGCCCCCTCTCCCGCTCATTCGCCGTCAACTTACGAATGACATTTCCCAATAGTGAAAGGGAAAGATTGATGTTTTGAGCCTCCTTTAACCTCTGTCCCTCCGCCCCTGTCGCCGAAACCCTCTCCGAGCCCGCCAGGTCAACAAGCGTCAGCAGTGAACGCGTTCGGTTGCTGACAACCGCCGTTGAACGCTCCCCCGACTGCTTCGTCTCCACAACGCCCCACTGTTGTAGGGAAAGAAACACAAAAAAGTGCGAGCGACTGCTTCGTTCATTTAACGCCGTGGATTCCACACGACGCATGCGTTCAGCCCGCAGAAGTACCGGCATGGCTTCCTCAAAAGAATTCACCGGGTGCCATGAAAGACCACTCACGACAACCCCCCAATCTGGATCTTCACGTATTTTTAATTCCCGTGCCGTGGGTGGTACCGACCGCATATTTCGTAAGCGTGATGTAAACGTTGGGAAAGAACGGGACGCACTAGGGCTCTTATCCACGGTTTCCATAATATCCGGTGCATCGGATCCGTTTTCTTCGTCAAACTCCGGTACAAAAGACGTCCTGCCTGTCCCAACGCCGTTGGAGACGCTGAAGAGACTATCCGCACGGCTTGGGGAGAACAGCGGTGGGCTATCTGCCATCAAATCACGCAATTCCTCTTGATAAAGTTCCAACACACCAATCTCCAGCTGCCAAAATGATTTTGTCATCCCTTTATTCTCCCCATCCGCTCCCACCGAATTGGGGTGGACCACATGCGAAAGTTTTTCACCCCCCTCCTGTTCCCGTGGAAACTTTTCTTGTAGGCGGGTAAAGAGCTGCTCGAGCATGCGCGGGACCAGGCCAAAGTCCTCACGCCTTTGAATACGATCGGGAATGCCACCAGCCGGTCCAAGCATCGAGTGCGTCTTGCCGCTCCCACTCTGGCCATAACATAAGATGGTGGCATTGTATCCATTAAGAAGGTAATGCAGCATTTTCGTTCCAACGCACGCCATCGTATCGGCCTGACTAGCGGTCTCGCCAAGAGTGGCATCAAAGGAGAAGAGAATTTTTCGCGTTTCCTGCGATGCTGCCCCGGTGGCAGGTTGCCGGTTAAATACAGCAGAGGAAGAGGGCATCTGGACGCCATTCCCCAAAGCACTGGGCTCCCTCATTGACACCGTGTATTCCACAACACCGGGAGCACCGAGAACACGGCAACAGGGCTGCGTCGTTTTCCTTGAAAACTGCGGTCGAATACGCACAACGACGCTCACGCTCCCAGGCTCAACGAGACGGGAACTTGTGGTGACGACATCCTTCGATACCGCCAAATTATCCGAGTTTATTGTTCCAAGAAGAGGGCTCACTTCGTACAAGGATCGGGAAACTGTCGTCCCATTTGGACTGCCGGCGTGGTTAACGTGGAGGTTGCTTTTTTTAGGGCCGCCTACGGTATTCGCGATGGAGGAGCCCATTCGCTGATGTTCGTTGAAGAATATACCTCTACTTGACATCGGGGAGCGACTGGGGGCGGAAGACTCCCACTGGAGCGGCGGGGAGCGCTTCAATATTCCGGTCCGTGAGAAGACAGTCGGTGTTTTACTGTCGTGACCATTTCGATGCGGCGTCATATGCGACGACCTCGCAGATGAGGAAAAACGCTTCTGTTGCTCCCCCTTTCCCTTCACTTGTGACGACGATGATGACGATGGTGATGCTGGTGGTGGTGGTGGTTGCCGCCGGATTCGGGGTGACTTCCGTGATGGCCTGGTGGCATTACCCCGCCCTTTACGTTCAGGCGTTGAAGACATTTTTATGCGCGAGCAAAAAAAAAAAAGGAAAAAAACAACAATAAACAAATTACTTTTAAAAATATTTCTTCAAACTTCTCTCCGTTGCCTAATAACTTAACACAAAACTAAAGTCTGTGCGTGTGTGTAGGCGTGTGCGTGTGTGTGTGTGTAAACACACCTCTTCCCCACTCCCACACACACAGAAAAAAAGTGCCGTAATAAATAAATAAATAAATAAATATAATTTATTTATTTCTTTACTACTACGTCCAAAGAAGAAAAAAGAAAAAACAAACAAATAAATAAACAAGGCATGTGAAGAGAAATATAAAAGAAGAAAAGTGGGGAAGAAAGAAAGAAAGAAAGAAAGAGGGAGAGGCGTGGCGTAATGCACAGGCCCCCTTCCCCCCTCCCCCCCCAAAAAAAAAGAAGTCATATCACACCAGAAAAAAAAGGGAAATAAATAAATAAATATAAATAAATGTCAATACAACCAACAACAGCAAAACAAAGAAAAGAAAATAAAAGAAAAGAAGTGATGTTAGGAGCCTTCACAAGGCCATCCTTTTTAACTCATGCATGCTCCTGTTTCTTCTTCATGGAAGTTGCCTTTCCCCCCCCGTTCCCCGCTTACTTCACTCACCAGAGAGAGAGAGAGAAAAAGGCCACAACAAAAACAACAACTACAAAAAAGCAGCCCTCCTACCCATATATATATTTATATTTATCATTCTTCATATAATCACTGTCCTTTTCTTTCTCTTCCTATTTTCTTTTCTTTTCTCCTTTCCTTTCCGTCCTTATCGTGTTCCGATCGCTATCCTTCGCTCTGCAAAATCCCATTCTATTACCAGAAAGAAGTATATATATATATATGTATGTGTATGTATATTTGTGCGTCTGCATGTGTAGTTTACTTAAATTTTCATTTCTTCTATATTCTTTTTTTATTTTTATTTTTTAAATTCATTCTCCTTGATGTCCCCTCCAATAACTAAAAAAAAAGGATACAGAAAAATTAAGTTTAACAGCAACACACGCACATAGATACACACATACATACATACATACATACTTGTATATTCTTAGCAACTGGAAGTCACCACGGTTGTATTACCGCTCTTGCGATGGACGCGGACTTGTGTGGGGTCAAAGCCCTTTTCATTTGAGCGAAACACCGCCCATGACGGTGTCGGCGCCGCATACTCCGCTGCTGTAAATTCCGTCCGCCCACTACGGGCCAATGCATTAAACTTCTCATAGTCAATCCATGTATGCCAAACTCCATTCACTAGGAAGCGGCGTAGGGCAATGAGAACGCAGCAACTGTGCTCATGTTCGCATGCAATGCTGTATGGACCGCTAAAATTTATCCCCACCCCTTCCTCCTCATCCTTACGATTACACCTCCTGTTGTTATTCTCCATGTTGTTAACCGACGTCCTTTTCTCATCACAGTTAAGATCGCGCTGTAAGGGTCCTGTCTCCGGCTCGGTGCCCAGCCATGTTCGTTTGTCCCTGGGAGCGGTATCGGAGGCCAGCGCCTCACAGAGGGCCGCACAGAATCGTACCACTTCTTCGTGCCGCGGCACATTCTCCTTCATTCTCAGCGTGGATGCCGCACTTGTGCCGCAGTACGTGACGCCCTTGACTTCGATAAAGTCCGGCCAGCCAAGTCGCACCAAGTCGGCGTAGGCGGCAACGTTCTCCGTGTTGTATTGGTTAACAAGCGTCAGACGAAACACAGTTCGTTGCGGCTTACGACGCAGCTCCCGCACG